CAAGGAGGACCGGTAATTTTCTTTTAGGGTTTTCTTCCCTTAGATTGAGTGTCTTCGAAGACTCCGGAGCTCAATCTACCCCTATTTGAAGCACTTCTGCTTGTGAACAGGAAAAAGGGAATGGTAATAATACACCTAAGGTTAGAAAATGGAAGCCTCCGAGCTACTCAATCCACCCATTGGCTCCCAGGGTTCGGGAAAGGATTTTAGGTGAGAAGGATATCTTACAGATACGGACAGTGGTCAGCCACTCCTTTGTAGGTAGGAAAAACCAGGCTAATTGCTGCATTCCCCACCTACCGGTAAGAGCGTGCAGGGCGATGGGGTCGCTACATCCCTACGCCATATTTGCGCCTTATTTAAATTATTGCAGTTGTAAAAACTGGTATCAGTTCAATTGTCCAATGTTCGGAATGGCTAGTGTAATTACAGAATTAAAAGGCTCTCTTGAAAATTATGTACATTTTAGTTAAGCCAAGATTATCGAAATAAAGAAGTAAGAAATTTGGTTTAGTGAAATAATAATTCTTCATGATAGGTTTTTTAAACTGTTTTGCAAGGTTAATTTATTTAATACTAAAATCTTCCGTACACCCAACACATCAAACAAGAAGTTCCAATATCAACTGTTCATGTTTGATAAAAAGATCAATCACTAAATTTTAGCATTGTTCTCTTGTAGAAATAATAATGTATCACAGCCAACGAGAAAATTTAATTACTGATAAACAAAGAAGACTAAAATAACCTAGTAGTGCAACAAATGGCACATAGGTTCTCGGACTATTTAGTTATCTAATTTCTTTAGTCTGACCCAGATTTTCTATCTTGCCACATACTTTTTTCGGTTACTAATAGTGGAACCAAAATATTACTTAAAGAAGAGTAAAACCCCGCACTGAATGGAAATTGAAAAACGAAGCAGTTTTTAAGAAAATGGCGTTTATGGCAGGAAATGTTTGAGTTTTCAGAAAACTTGATTTGAAGCACTTCCACTTACAAAAGCAGTAGTGTTTACAAATCGCTTGAATGTGCATATTAACGGCGTGATATCAAAATATTGCATTTTTCGAAAATTCAGTAACGTAACAGATTTCATTAAAAATATATATAACCAATGTTACAATTTTAACAAGACGCAGATAAAAATTATAAACTTCAGCAATTTTCGAAAATTGAGAGATGTAAACGAATAAAAGGCAAGTGCCATTGTAAGCGTCCTTTACGCTATCCGAGACAAAGTTCAAATTTTTTGGATCCATTTTTGAGGAAATTTCGAAAATGTGAGGCCTTTGACAATTTGAGTACTCCCTAAAATTAAAATACCTGTTGAAACTCGCAGGGCTTGAGTTCCTAGAAAACTGTTGAGGAATATCAACTTTGGAGAAATCGTCTGAAAGGTTTAGCGCTAGCGTTGGCCAGATACAGACTAACGAAGTTTTGCCGTACGTCCAGTTTTCCGCATTAAGGGCCCACAAAGCGCGGATTCTGATTATACAACGTATTTAAGAAAGTAATTTACTACATGTAGGATCAAGACTTTTTTTTATCAGTTTTTACTCTCTTGCAACGGAGTACAGAGGAAGTTATGTAATGCTGCGCGAAAAAACTGAATTTTCGACAGACAAGCTCATATTACATGGCCCTGGTACCGAAAAAGTGGATAAATGCAGTTGCTAAATTTAGAAAAATTATTATAATTATTAATATGAAATGACGGCTAAACGTTTGTCTGTGAACAACGCTAGCGGCTAAACCAATCAGCCGATTTTCTCAAAAATTGATATTCTCCAAATGATCTGGCTGATGACTTGGCCAAAAGTTTTGATTTTTTTGTTGGATAATGCGAATGACGTTTAAGAGAATGGCGCACAAATAACGTGCATTAAAAACTCGGAATTTTCGAGAATTGCAAAAGTTAAAATATTAAAAATAGATATTTTTTACCTTAAAGAAGAGTGTTCCTAAAAGATTAATTTTAAGATAAGGTCATATTCAATTTTTCGAGAATTTGAGTACTTGTGTAATTTTGCATAAAAATACGGGCGAGAAAGTACGTGCGGATTTAGCACCACTAGTTTTCTGTCGAAAATGTGCAGAGTTCTGCCTCAGCATTACATTACTTTTCCCACAGCATTACGTACTTACAATGCAATTTTTCTGTTTCTGTTGAAAGGTCTGAATTTTCGTAATTTGGGAAAGTAATAATGTGTTTGCTGTCACAATTAATTGTAATAAACAGGGCCGTCATTCAGCGTTTGTAATGGGGTTGGAGATTTCCTAAATACACCTCAGTAGGCCTACTTACTCCATTCGTACTTGTTTAAATGTAGCACTGTTTGGGATTTCTGGACACAGCTAACAAAAGAGTTTCATAAAGCAAGGGTATTTTATAAGACTGAGAAACGTTCCGAAATTTGTATTCCAGCATTATAAATCACCTTTTTACTTGCAAGAAATCGTTAATAAAATGACATCTTACGACGCAAATTGTGACTCATTTGTCGTTTACAGAACAAATAATTGCGTCATTTCACATTCAGTCAATTGCAGCGAGAGGATTGGGGGCATAGAGTAGAGATCTCTCTCCTCTATGATTGGGGGAAAGCTAGCGGTAAACCGTTCAGCCAACCACCATTGTTTGCACATAGGTGCAATACCTGAGACGTCTCAATGTTATTTTCAAAAATTAACTTTGCTTTTATTATAAATTTATAATGCTGTTATACAAACGAATGCAACTCATTTTTAATTTTGCTGAATGAAGGATACTGATTAATTTGTTCCATAGGCCGTTTTATGAAAGCTGCCGCGCCAATTTTCATAAATAAGTAATCTAAAGATCTTTCCCCTAAGAGTTTTCCCAAAAATAGTGCGAATATTTTTTTTCAAAGGGAGTGTTTTAGTAATATTTAGAAATCTTTAGTGTTGGTTCATTAGTACGTTCTCTTACGATTTGAAGAGATAGTCCATTACTAATGTCTGCAGGTCATATTAACACATTATTATTTTCAATATTGTGCAGGATTATACTTAAATATATACACATACACTACTGGAATATCCAAAAGAATTTGATTATAGGCGATATCTATTAAAGTAACATCGAGATGTTATTACACAATAAATCAGTGAATAACGTACTAAAATATGACTGAACAAAAAATGAAGAAGCTGAATATATATTTCGGTGCAGATTAATATTTCCTAATGGTGTGGAAATGCTATTAAGGCAAAAGCCATTTTTTGCTTAATTTTTAACTAGAATCTCTCAAGATGACTAGTAGCATAGACAAGAATATATTGTTTAAAATGAATTAATAGCGTCTAATTTATTTGAAATTTTGATCAGTACTGCGAATCAACTTTGTTTTGTGCGGGAGGGTAAGTGAATTAAAGAAGTGAAAAGTTTGAACTGGGATACTTTGGAAGGGAGAAAATAACTTACGGTAAATTAAAAATTTGGAACATAAATAGTAAATTAATTTTTGAATTTCACAGTAGGAATTTTTGAGTGAATAACGTCAGTACAGTAACGTCTATCGCAAGCATTAGTCCAAAATTATGAAGGGAATCTCTGGGTCAACGTATTTGGAGTGACGGTATTTTTCCATTTCCATGTCATCGAGTGATGGCATTTTTCTTGCAATCAGGAGACAGGTTTTAATTCAAAAAAGAAAAAATATCATTTTTTCAATGTATTTTATTTGAAAACCTTAATTACTTGAAACAAAATGTCAAAAACACAGTAATCGAATATCTACCAGATACTTAAATATTGCAATTATTGGAAATGATTTACAGGAAAAATATGATTGTTCGTAAAAATCACGTAGATATTAATAGTGTATATTACATTACAAAAATTTGTGTAACTATGTAGTAATGCGCACACACAATCGTGTAAATAACTCCAGGTTTTAAGTTTTCACAAGTACCATTTTTACCTTCAGAAATACAGAATATAAAGTTACGACTTACAATTAAAAGTTGTTTATCTTTTGATTATAAACGAAATTATACGCACCCTATAAAATCAGAAGTAGTAATTTAAAATTGGTTGAATTCTGTTAACAAGGCGATTGTTAAGGAACTGTCTCAACCATTCTTTTCCTCTCCTCATTTAAGACTATTGTAACTCGGTTATATTTGTTTGTGAACTCAAATCTAATCTCCTTTATTATTACATTACAGTAGTTTTAAACATCTCATCAACACGTATAGCACCGTTGTACAAACAGGACATTACTAATCTTTTCTACTTACAAAATATGTCTCTTACTTCACGCGATTGTTTCACAATTATAAAATAAATAAATGTCCTCTGCTGCAACATAGTAAAATGGGGTCAGCCATGATTTAAGTAATTTTTTACTACATATATTTTGAATGAAACTGACAAATCACAAGGCCTCTAGGCCGATGAAACCTGCTCCATTACACTGTAGATGCGGTTTTGCACTGTACGTGCTATATTGGAATTTTAAGCAAATAACAGTTTCAGGTAAACCCAAGAATACGCACAGTTATCTCCTCTGAAATAGTCGAATTTTTAGTTGGCATTCTTCATTCTTAAACAAATATAGCCCCTTCAGAGCCTATTTGCCTAAAAATATAATTTTCCAAACAACAGACATAATTGTATCTCTTCAGGTGGTAAAAAACAAGTGTATGCCAAATTCTATACTCAATCTTAACATTCGCCGATCACCCTGTAAAATTTGATTTCATTACTGATTTGATTACATTTTGCAGATAAAACGTATCTGCTGTATGGTTCAGTAATGAAAAAATAAACGATCACAATTTAATTGCATTTGTAAGCTGGAAAACATTACAAAGAATCTTATCACACAGAATTGTATACAATTTTGAAGAACTTTCCTTTTATTAAACAATTGAGCACTAAATATAATGCAAAGTAAATAGGTTTTGTGAAACGTGAAGATGTAGCTGTTGTATATTAACACTTTTCTTTTTCTTATACTTTGCCAGAACAACTATATAGCATTGTCGCCAACTTCAGTGTCATTTGTAGGATATAATACCAGTGCTACTTCGCTGTGATGACTCATATGGATATTGTTGGGTAAGCCTCCACCCACTTCCCAAAGTAAAATGCTATAAATTTCTAACCAAAATACACCATTGAGCAAATACAATTCAGGATCACTAGGCCACTCATCAGATTCGTCATCCACAACCATCCACACGGCTTGAACGGGATCGTCATTCTCTTCGTTTTGTCGCGAACTCTCTTCTTGCAATTCTGCTTCAAAATCATCGAACCTTTCTGGCAAGTTGTTTTCTTGAAATGCAGCGCTTTCCACGACCACGTTCAACACTTCTTGCAGCGCTGCGGCATCATATGGAAGTTCTCTGCGTCTCCTTCGTCGCCTTGGTTGCTGTTCCCTTTGAGAATTCTCTTCGGTGGACTGAACGCCCCTGTTGGCGTAAGGGTTGTTTACCGTAGCAGCAAACCTTGGATCTTCAGGATGTATCTCCTCCTCTTTTCCTTCCAGCCAACGCACATAGCGGTCGGGTTGGTAAAGCTCCACAATAGGGTCCAAATCTACCGTTATGGAATCTTTGCCGCAGGTGCATTCAGGAACTCTCTTTCCGTAATCAATCCACCGGGTTGTAGCAAAGTGTGTGGACTCAATGCAGTTAAAACCATGATCAAAAGCTGAATGATAGCCGTAAGGAAATGTTATCACAAATTCGCCAGCTTTTTGTGTTATTATATTATACGGTATTTTGTATTTCTTTAGCACTTGTGGAGATATCAAAGTCTTTCGGTGACGAAGAAACGCCGGGCATTTCTTTGAGGTATTTGGAAAGACCTCGTTCATTAAACATTCAAAACGGAAACCGTACTGTGGAGGAATTGAATACCATGTTCTTGGGGAACCGAAGTGAAGATAATTAACACTATACAAATCCATTTCTTTTATACACCAAGGAAGCGATGTTTTAAACATACCAAAATTCAGTCTTGGAGTGTTTAATCCAACATCACAAATTTTAAGACCTACATCCAATATGCTGCCAAGGGCACAAAAATTCCACTCCTGTAGTTCATCATCCATAAGAGTTCCCACGACATGCGAACCACACATTGGAGTAGAATATTTTATTCTGTTCCAATATAGCATTTCTAGGTCATCTGGGCGGGTGTGCGTGGGTGCTCCATACGTATCACTCAGGGCTATTGCGCGGTATTCTTTCACGGTCATCGGTTTCCTTTCAACACTTTCTAGCGTGTACAGTCCATCTTGTCCATCCACCTTCTGTACAGTAGGGGCAGGTATAGTCATATCAATATTCTTCATATCATAATTAGTGCTCCTGGGTTTCCATTCCACAGGAGGGATGATTTTAGCCAAACCTGCTTTATGGGCACCCAAAGATTCGATATGTTGAATGAACAAATTAAAATCTTTGAATTCTTCGTATGTCGGACGAAACACCATTGCAGCAGGCACCTGGGACCCCACAGTACTCCCGCCTTGCTCCATTTCGGCGTACGGGAACTCAATGGGATGCGTCAAGTGCCCTGCAAAAGATCAAACATTACAGCTCCATAAACAGCCAGACTGTTCAAGGAAACATTACATCTCACGTATGCAAATCTACATTTACTTGAAAATTGGAGATACTTATTATTACTAAAATTACATGTGAATTGAACAAATTGAATTGATAGATCAAAAAGAAAGATTCACAAAAACTCCAATGATCGACTTTTCTTAAATTGAATGCCGAGGGAAGCTAAATTTCTCGATGAACTGGGTCCATAATAATGCACTAAAAATTCGCTAGACTGAACCGAGAAATCTGTATACCCACACTAGCCCATTTAATTTAATCATAATATAATTTTCCTAGAAGAGTACAAATTCCGACTTAATTTATTTATTTATGTATTTATTTATGTATGTATTTATTTATTTATTTATTTATTTACGTCAAAAACAGTTTAAAACTGTGTATGGCGTGCTATGGGGGAAGCTAGATATCTGAGTCGACCTCACTCACTGACTGGACAATTTTATGCCGGCATATCAGGCCGTTTGCTCTGATCGGTGGTTTCAATGGATTCTCCGATCAAATCCAGGCGAATGCCGGAGCTGAATTTTAACGAAGGGGCCACTAATCGCGCGCAATCTTTTATTCCCCGCCCTTTTCCTAGTCCTCATTTCCTTACACACTCACATACATACCCTACACTCCCCACAGATGCCGGGAGACCAGTTGGGGGCTAGAGCTGCTCCATCTTGGAGCGGTGCCTTTGTTGACGGAGATACATAGCTTTACCTTACCACCGACCATAACAAGCCTGATATTATAACTAGTTATGATACAAGAGCACATACGATTTAGCACTATTTCTAATTGCGCCGCTATATCATACTTCTACATGAACCAGCACAAGTGTTTTCAACCAAAAATTTTTCCCACGCCCAGACAATTTTTCTGGCGAAAATGTACAATTTTTCGGCGCGCGATTGCAATGCGTTCTCTTCATACGAAGGGCGAGAAACTAATGAGGACCTACAAATCACCGAATCAATCAACTACTGGTGCTACACAAAATGCCTCCCATTATTGCTAATTGCTTCGCTATATTATACTACCAAATACACCTGCAAAAGTGTTTTCACCAACTAGCGATAGTTGTCCGCTCCCAGACTTGAACCCAAGCCCTCAGAGTTATTTCGCCGTCACCCATACCACTACGCTACAAAAGCGCTGTGAAGTTCGAGCTCAGGCCGACGCTTAAAAATCTCAACCCAATAATATCAACAAGCACTTTTTGCCGTTTTTGAAAATACGGAGAGTTCGCTAGAAATGGGACTAGATAAATACGACGAGAAATTTTAAAGAAAAAAAATTGTGCCGTATTAGAGAAAAAAAAACTTCAAAACATTTAAAAATTGCCTATATTTCGCGCCAAATTACTCGGAAAACATTAATATTTTCGGAAAATTGTACATGACATTTCAAAATTTGTCTTTAAGAAATAGATTTCATTAAGGAAAAAATATCTGCAATATTTCCGGTGTAGTAAAACGCCCCCAAAATTGCACTTTTGCAATTGAATCGGTGATTTCGAAAAGGAAATAAGCCTTTGTTCCATACTTTTGAGAACAAACAGAAAAAAGGTTACAATTTTCGAAAAAGATGAGAGCTTGCAGAATATGGAATAGCACTGAGCATATTTTTACCGTACCTTGATACATCTGAAGAGAAATTGGAAAGAAAAAAAAAATATCCGTCTGGAACATCCAAAGCCTCGAGTTTGTTCAGATCGATAGGGGAATATCAACTTTAGAGAAAATCGGCTGAACGGTTGAGGTGCTAGCGTTGACCACAGACGGACAGATAGGTATTTTGCAGTCAACAGATTTGTCGGTATCAAGGACCCACAAAAAAATGGATTCTGGCTACACTACGAGCTAAACATACTTTTTATAAATTTATTATTCACGAGATTTATCCAATTTTACGTAACCAGGGCTCGCTAATAGGTTATTCGCAGTTTCAGACGCACGATTAAATAATTTTCTACTAACACATACCTTTCTACGGGCGAGAAAGTACTTTTTCTCGCGAAGTACCTTCGTAAGGGCGAGAAAGTACTTTTTCTCGCGAAGTACCTTCGTAAGAAATAGAAGTAAAAATGTGCTACTCCGTTTTGTTGGCGATCTCTCAAGACATAAAATTACGGGAAATTAACTCGCTTCACAGGAATTTGTACATGACCGTTTTCAAGAGCTGATTTTTTACAGCATATTTAGTTTCATGCAAAAGTCGCTATCTCCAATTTTGTAGTTTTGAGATTTTAACTTTTTACAATTTTCGAAAATACGGAGAGTTTATCGCCAATGGGACTAGCACCATTATGTTTACCGACCCTTATTACACATGAGAAGAAAATTTAAAGAAACAATTTGGAGCGGTAAGAAAATAATTGTTAACAAAACGATTGTACTTGCCTACATTTCACGCAAATTCCACGAAAAACTCAATTTTTCTTCTCAAAACTTCTCAGTCGGACGGACCGACACACGCACGGACCGACACACGGACGGATGTTTAAAAAAAACAATACTTTTTTATATCAGGAGATCCCAAAACCTGTATTTCTCATGAAATTTCGAAATAGATTTTCCGCAGCATTACAAAACTTTCCCTATACTACTTATATTAGATCCGAGAAATAGATATGCTAAGGAAATTGAAAGACTAAATCGTATTACCGGATCAATCCTGATAAGCCTTAAAAAGAAAGTCAGAAAGGAAACTATGATTAAATTTTGTAAGGTATGAAGTATCGTAATGTGTTTATTTGGAATTGAAAATTGGACAATGGCTAAAACAGATAGCACGAGACTACCAAGTGCTGAAAAGAGATTTTGAAATCAGCTGGTTTTAAAGTGATGGACAAGAAAGAAATTAGAACTTCGTAAAGAACTTGAGGTATGTAATCTCCAAGAGAAAAATCACTATCGAAATTCCTGGAGGCAAAAGTTGAAAGAATTTGAAAGAAAGCTAGAATCGCCTGGCGGAAAGGAATTTTACGATACTTCCCACAAGGATGAAGAGACAGTGACTAGATGGGAATGGAGGCGTAAAACAGGCAGTGCTTATACACCTGAAGGAGAAGAAGATAAAGTTTTAAGCCATGGTGATGCTGAACTTTATCATCGAAGAGTGACAGAGCGAGAGGAAATAGTATATTTTCAACGTCTTCGCAGAAGTATCGACTAATCGAATCAAATATTCTCAGCACGACTGTAAAATAATCAGAATTTGATCAATTGATTTCTGTTGATCAGGAGATGGTATAGCAATCAAAAAATAAGAAGAGCGAACTTAATTAGTTTTTATAGATTAGAAAAGCATTTGAGTTGCAAGAAATATCTTTGAACACAGTCAACAAAACAACTTACTTACTAGAAATCCAAGGAATATGAAACAGCATTTTAACTTACAAACAACATATGACGTCTCTAGTCGTAATGTTTTTAAGAGCTGTGGTTTACCTACAATTTTGTAAGTTCATCTAGGAAACATGCAACGTTATGAACAGCATTGACGTCAATAAAACCTTTTTCAGAAAGAAGTTTCATCCTATAAGCCATTCAGTGTGCACTATTCTTGTCTTGCCTATTGTCCAATTACAATTTCGGAGGAGTTATTTTATACAGTTGGGAATGGGGATACACGGTGTTGCCAGGAACTCGATCCGCGCCCTTGCTTGCGGCCGCTCAGCCAGCGCTATATTCCAAGTCTAAAATTCCTATCACAACATATTATTCGTTTTGTCATTCTCCTCTGAATTTGCCATCACGACACTTCATGCGCACGTCACATTTGACCGTACATCCGTCCGCGAAGTACAGTGGCAAGTTGCACTGCGTTTCAAATGCACTCTTTAACTCAGTGGCAAAGTCGCCTGCCTTTCTGAGGTTCCGGGTTCGATTCCCGAAGAATCCCCGGAGAACCTCATGTAAATCAGAATGTGATCGCTTATGACCACGAAGTTGTACAGCGATGTAAAATAAAACAAAACAAAAATAGGGGGGGGAGAAGTTGTTGCAAACCTTACGTAATTAATTTTGGGGGTGTTCAAGCACGCGCTACGGATACGTTACAAAGGGGAAAGGGGATATTAAAAATACTACAAATTTGCGTTACGTAATTTATGGACTATGTGATAACCACACCTCGAAATATAAAGGCACAAGAAAGTAAGGATTTAGGCACTTAAAATAAGTAACAAAATTATGAAATCACGCACCATCAGGCATGAATGCGACGTTTTAGGCTCTTAAAATAGGTTACAAAATGATTAAACCAGGTACATAAAAACATTAGACAAGAAAAGTTATGTTGCTATCATCTAAAACTGATCACGAAAGGTTAAATTAGGCACTTTGTATAATTCAGCAGAGCCAAATATTTTTACATTTTGCAGGTGTGATTTTAATATTATTTTATTCAGTACAGTATATAATCAAGATTTTCTACATTAAGGCAGTCTCATCTGTTTAAATCATTTTCAAACTGACATTTCCAATAGCGCAGATATTATAGGAGCAAACTTAAATTTAGTCGCATTTCTCATGTCACTCTTCTGGCACGCTCCCCCACCAAAACTTGCACCACTGACACATCACACCATGTCCCTTTTTTATTACGCTCTCCCAGTTGCACTTAACTTTGTCCCCAATGGCTCTCATAGCAGCACTAATTTTCACTTCGGTGTCTTGCACCACTCACACATTACACCATGTCCCGTTTTTTTTATTACGCTCTCCCAGTTGTACTTCACTTTGTCCCCAACGGCTCTCTTAGCAGCAGCACTAATTTTAACTTCTTGCACCACTGACACATTACACCATGTCCCATTTTTTTATTACGCTCTCCCAGTTGCACTTCACTTTGTCCCCAACGGCTCTCTTTGCAGCACTAATTTTCACTTCGTCTCGCACAATTGACACACAATCTG